AAGAAAAATGAGGGGTGAAGGAGGAAGACAAAGTGAAGAATAAAGTTTTCGGGCGGTGAACAATCCCGTCTGAGGGATGCGACCACGCATTTGACTTCCATTCAGAATCGTAGTGGCGTAATAAACGCGTATGTGGCCTATACAATGACTTGCGGTGGCCAGCCGATGTACAAGTCGATTCTTTTATTCTTCCAGACGAATCTGTTTGGAATGGCCTGTAGGGATGAAAGGCTTGGTCCGCTCAGGCGGATATCGATCCGGGATTCGAACCCGTGACAACGTGTGTGTGTGTAACCCACTGCCACTACACCAACTCCGTTCCGCAAAAGTAAGATTAATAATTTAGAGCTTTAATTCGATGATGAACTATTCAAGTTACCCCAGATCATCGACTATGGAGAACAACCGTCTGACGAAGCTGTCCAGCTAGCCACGACGGATCTTTTCAAGAAGAGCGGAGTGTCAGAAATGTCCGACACACTGTCTTTGGTCCTTTTTTCAGGAAAATTCTTGAACAACATTTTATTCATACAACGATTACAATACTCTACTGTTAGACCACTCTTTATATACACATGGAATGCTCAAAGTATCATAAGAGCCATGATTCTGGTTTCACGAACATGATAAACAATAAATAATAAGTAATAAATAATAAATAATTCATGGCCAGTTTTGCATAAAGCGCCTTTTTTTCAACAGGAGATAGTAAGGAGGTGGCAATAAGCCTTAAGCAATATATTGCAAATTCATTTGGTTTCTTGTAAGAAACCAACGAAATGAGATAAAGAAAATATGTGGTGACGAGATGTAGGGATAAACGTGACTGGGGAAATAGCTAGCTCACCTGGGTTGACTGAAACTAGCGAAGTCAAGCTCAGTGGTGTTCACCGAGAGCCTGGTTGCAAAATACTTTAAGATAGGGCAGGAGAAGAGGAGCGTACGACTTTTAGTGAAGGACTACATTTCCATATTGTAGTAAAAAGTAATGAAGAAGTAAAGCATAGCTAAACGGCTTGTTCTTTTCGAATGGAAATTTTCTAGCAATTGCACTGCTGCGTCGGTGGCTTCTGGTTCGTGGTGGCGTCCAGTCGCTGGCCTTTTGGTTGCTGCTGAGGGTCCTGGAACAAAAAGAGAGAATCTGTTCAGCAGCTGATCATATAACTTAACTGATTCCTTACCTTATCAAGGCTTTCGGCCATTTTATCGCAGATTATTTCCACCAGTTTCTCGAAAACGGCCTTCACATTAATATTCTCCTTGGCCGAAGTTTCAAAGAATTCGAGAGCTTCAAAATGTTGATAATTTGAAAACGAATGTGTGCATAGGCGGACAGCAGTTAGACTCGGCGAACTTGCGGCGAGAACGCAACGCAACCGCGCCGCGCAAGAGGCGTCATTGGCATCGATATCCACGGCCATTCACTATTGAGTAATCAATTTTTTTCATATTTGTACATAAAGTAAACTCGCGATCAGCTTAAAATTTTCACATTTCATTGGAATCAGCGGTTAAAAGTGGCTGCAGAATTTAGAGCGATGCTAAAGCTTTCGATCGATACGCATGTTTTACACGTGCATATTTGCCGAGTCTAAATACTGCGTGTGTATGGCTATACCGTACATAGTTGATCGGCAAGTTGTCTGCCTCTTTCGATTGATACCACACGTTCGGCATCCATATCGCATTTGTTGCCTACCAGAACTACCTGGGCGTTCTCCCACGAATATGTTTTGATTTGGGTGCACCTGAATTACTAGGGTAATTTATTAGTTTTTCAAACAAACGGTGGAGAACACTCTTTTTAGAAGGAAATCGGAGAAGCGATTCTGCTGGGTGACAGCGTTTTGCACTTGCAATATTGAGAAGAAATTTGACACCTCAGCACGAAAATGGAAAAATGACACCCTCAGGGGTGGGTAAGGTATTCATTAACACTCACCAGTCTTGTACGCTATTGAAGGATTCTTCATTTGTGATGTCGTACATAAGGATAAAACCCATAGCACCACGATAGTATGCCGTTGTAATGGTACGGTAACGCTCTTGTCCTGCTGTGTCCTGGAATTCATTTCAATAGGAACGCTGAGGGTGGTCCTCACAGTTTCTCTTCCCCACAGATGTTCAGTCAGATGATGAAAAGGCTAAGGGGACAGGGTGCCGACGAGTAATCTAGTTTTCCCTGAGTTACTCGTTTCTAAATAAGCCTAGGTGATTCCTTAACGAGCAGTCGTTTCAATAAGTGTTTCCATCTTCCTTAATCAGCCCGTTACCAACCACCCGACATACGAAACATGAAGACTCTATTGATTTGGGTGGAGATAGGACAGAGGTGGGAGAGAGGAGAGGGAATTCGCTCCCATGGACCAGGAGAGCTGCGTGCTCTCACTCATCTTCCGTACGTAGCTGCGTACGTAAGGAAAAGGAGTGATGCTCCAGTAGGGGAACATCATTAGCAAACAACTATGGGGAACTGTTATGAATCCGATCCTTCACAAAATTATCTAAATTACGGTTTTTTTTGACAAAAAATCGAACAAAAGTTGATAAAAGTTTTGGAATTATGGTAATTAACAATAAAATTATAAGAATTTCCCAGACGAGATGGAGGTAGGAACGGTTTTGCGCAATCGATCCGCCGCACGCGGCTGTCGCGGACCATTTGCCTCGCTATAGCAATTCTAGCGTTCTTCATATAGTTCAATCGCCGCGCGATTATTACTTCTGGAATGATTCTAGTGCTAGTTCTTTTGTTCCAGAATTTCTTAATTGCTGCTACATTCTGCTACATTCCTTCGCGCGCGGCGTCTCTATCACCGCGAGGCGACAATTTCGTTCCTACTGCACCACCCCCGAGATGGAGGTATAAATTAACCTTTTGGTGAAAGAATAAAGCTTCTGTTGGCGTCTTATGGGTGGGGATACTTTGGTTTTTGTTGAAAGTTTGACATCAATTGGTCTTGTGGTTAGGATACGCCCTCGTATTAGACTTCCATTCAGGATCGTGGGGACCGTGTGAAGGTGTATACGACCGACAAAATGACTTGATGGCCAGCCAGAGTACAAGTCGGTGCTCTGCTTTCATTCCCCTGGATCTCAGACCGATTTGTTGCCAACAAAGCGACCTTGGAGAAATGGAAGGCTCGGTTGGAGTGGGCAAGCATCGGTTTGAGACGCATGAAGATGCCTAATTTGAAGTGACGATTTCCGTGATTTTTAGCGGACTTTTTCCTCTGTTCTGAGATTGAGCAGTAAGTGCTTAATAGGCTCCAATCGGAAAGAATTTTCTAGCTCTACTCTACCCCTGCTTTAGGTGGAATTCTAAAAGAAACCTGAAAGTGCACGCTTTCCCCGTTCCTAGATGAGAGACTTTCCGCTCAAATGCCACTGTCGTTGAAAACATTACTAAAGGAGCACACATAGGGTATATCTGAAGCATAAAGGTCTTTTGGTGTTGAGTGATCCCGTTCTGGAATGCGTCTCCACTGGACTTCCAATTGTTGTAGCGTTTTAAATAAACCTAACAAAAGCTCCTTCTCACCTAAGTTGTACGCCTAGTTTATCAGGTTTCTCACTGAGGGGGTCAGTTCTGACCGATACAGCTGCAGAGCACCCAGTGTAGCCGGCGGACAACTTATGTTCAAGTCACGCTTCTGCCCTCCCAGACGAGTCTGGAAACAATTAATGAACCCGAAAGATGGGAAGCTCAAGCGCTCGTCGCGGACATCAATCCGGGATTCCATCTCCAGACCGTGTGGGTGTGATTGTGGGTCACTTGCCACTGCACTAATTCCATCCAAAGTATTATTCATTCAATGAGGGTATTTTCAAATCATCCCTATTCTTGCTAGATATCGAGCCAGTAGAAGAGAATTCCAAAACTCAAGGACCCATAACTGTTCAGTCTCGGCATTGTATGAGGTTTTAGCACCAGAAGCGACTATTTGGACGAGCTTTCTGCCGTTACTGTGAAAGCTGGCAGTTGCGCAAAGGTGTGGGTACATTGCCCTACGTTTGCTATTACATAATTCTATCCCAGGCCTCTAGAAGGCGCAATGGGCGTTTCAAACGATTCAAACGAACTTTGGATCATCGATTCGCCCTTCCTGGTATTTTTTTCAATGAGCCTACGTCTATTGTCTTGAAGAGAAGGCTCCCAATTAGTAATCTGCGAGCAGTCTCCAGTCGTGCAGCATTCGGAGTAGTTGTTGAGAAGTACCCTTGTTGTCAGCGAAGACAATAAACGTCAATATCATCATGCTCCTGAGCAGGATTAATGCGCTCCTCCGATGATTCTAACGACATGTGGGGATTGCTAGACCAGAGGCAGAGAGATTAATCTGGTCAGGTGATCCCCTTATTTCACTCCGAATAAGATTTTTAGTAAAAATTAATGAGAACACATGAAAGGATTTCCAAAATCCACTTACCCATATTTGTAGTTTTACTCGTTTGTCGCCTCGGAATACAGTCTTGACCTAGAAATAAACATTTGGGGAGTTGAAGGCGCAGGAATCCACAAAAATCACGATTGAATTGAATTCCTTCCAAGGAATGTGACACAATTTTAAGATTGGGAAGAAAGGACGACTTTTAGTGGCGTAATGAATTCTAAAAGGGCATCCTTCTTCAAGTATTTGACCTTTGCTTACCCTTTACCCAGAAAGCCCATTCTCACACGGATATTGGAGCTTACCTTAAAATCGATTCCTACGGTAGAGACGAAAGCCGACGTGAATGAATCGTCACAATAGCGGAATAAAAACGATGTCTTCCCCACTGATGAGTTGCCAATGATCAGCAACTAAAATTACAAAAAAGTATGGAATCAAATTGAGTTTGTAGATGAGTTCAAACTTCATCTCTATGTGATAAACTTGAGGAAAAAAATTAAATTGAACCGAGATCGGAACCCAATTTTTTGGACCTGTCTGAGACTATAATTTGCTATGATCGGATACACCTTTCATACCTTGCTCCAAAGACATAATGGCTTTAACGTGTGTCGCGCTGCGCTGAAACCCTGCCCATGTAGCCTATCCCGCCTTTTTTACAAACTCCGCCTTCCAGCGAGTCTTACAGTTGAATGCTTACTGATGAGGGTTAGGGTTGCGAAGAGAAAGGTTCGTCCGTATTGAAACGCTGCACATACAGGTACATGAGTGCGATGTAGTGATGGCCCAGTATCACATAAGTGTGGGCACAGGTTCAAATCCCGGATCGATATCTGCCAACGCCATCTTTGGGCCTTCCATCCCTCCGAGAGCGGTCAAACGACTTTGGACTTTGAGACTTTCATCGTGAACAGTATCCTCTGAAGGTCTGCCAAACTCGAATCCAAGTAGAGAGAAGAGCAGAAAGTTCTTTATTTTTAGTGTGAACGCATGGCCTCAAAGGAAATCTCTAATCACTCCAACGGGACCACTGTAAAGGGCTCACACGTATATCCAGAGCAGATATATTGAATAAAAGTGAGACTCTTTAATTGTTCCGCTATAGTCCCAAGAACATTATTTCTTTCCACTGCTTCCTGCACGAATACTAGTTGCGTTTTGAAGTTTCCAGAGATTTTCGCACTTTTTGTCGGCCTAGGAAACGGTAGAAGAGGCTTCCGCCCTATTGGGCTTTAAGAGCCTCCACCGGCAGAGTTCCGGCGCGAAGAAAAAGTATTGGAGATCTGCTTGAGGAGTTGGGCAAGTATGACGAGCCCAAGTAACATCCGCTTCGATTTTTCACGCCAAATGTTTGGGCCACTCAATTTTCCCTTTGACCAGCTTGAACTATAGGCAGGAGATGATCTTCACAAGTTCATTGAAACTCTTTAGCCATCAGTATCGGAACAGATGTCATATTTCCGCTCAGCCTCTTTGTGGATGGCTCTGAGCTGGCATGAACTCACTGACGATCCCATTGAGCTCCATAATACACAGACTTCAATCATTTCTTGAGGGCTTTTGTGAAAGCATTCAAGGTTTCCGCAAGGGGCATGAAATTAATGGCTATAATGGTGACATAAGGATGGGAATCGTCGAGTCCATGGAAACAGCGGCACCAGCCAGTCAGCGCCAAAGCAAAGAAATAATTGATGAATGAAGAGGAAGGGAAAGAATGACATACCTTGAACATATAATCAAAGTTCTGATCACCTTGTGCTGGTTGTTGTGCTCCAGCGGCTGCCATCTGAAAAAGCCGAAATGTTCGAAAATTTACGAAAGATAGAAGGACTGAGTAAACACGAATAGGTGTCATCAAGATAACGCTGGAGGAGGAATGAAAGGCCGGCCCTATACGACCTAAGTTCAACGCAATCGAGTAAAGTAAACATTTTTCCAAAAATTCAGATGTATAGGCACAACTAATAAGTCCTCTTTCATAGCCAAATAGTGAATGAATTAACTTGCTTGCAATTCGGGTAATATGTCATAAAAGCAAGGCAACGAGTGCATGGCGCATTCTGAGAGGATTTATCAGCCCTATGCATCCTAACATCGATAAGTTTTTTTTGCTGAAAATCACAGCGGTACGATGATAAAGAGAAAGCGTCGCTGGGGGGAAAAGCATATGAAAATGCTGATAAACACCGAATATGGGCAATGGAATTTGAATAAATTCGAAACCAATATCGATCGGGGCAAAATTATCCCCGAAATGGCAAATATTTGTTTAAGTAGTGCAAGTGATGGTCGGGGCATTAAACGGGTAGATAGATATTCCCGACATCGCGATCGGGTAAAAAACATCCCACATGACAGATGAGGTGATAAGAAGCTGTGGGAAGCTCTTTAATGAATTCATTTTGAAGAAGTAGAATGTCATGGTGGTGGAATATGGGAAACATACCCCTTAACTCGAAATCTAACGACAAATGAAGCTTGGATGTATGGCCTTCGGGGACTGCGTCTGAGGGGGAGATCGATAAGCGGCTGCGGCTTGAATCCATCGTATCGCGTCACATATACGTCGCAACGCGAACGGACGACGTCGCCGTTGTCATTAGCGGAATGAGCGAAATCACTTGACGGCTAATTGATGATGACTATAGAAAAAGAGTACCATCCTTGATGGGGGNGGGGGGGGGGGGGGGGGGGGGGAAGAGATTAGAAGAAGTTTAAGAAGAGACCGAACTGAAACCGCAGACGAGCAAACAACGCCATAAGAAGACGGGCACAGTTCAGAAATTCTGAAAAGACGTCAGTCTGAGCCCAAGGAACGCGCTGATGACGTCGAGAATGCAGATCTGCCCACGAACGGAATTCATGAATTTCACATTCACTGATATATAATGGCTCATGACAAGTACTACCACCGTAGCAGCTGATTTTGCGCCCTACTTGTGACAGTGGAGGTAGGAATCCCCAGAAGATCAAAATATATAGACCGCACTCATAAATAGGGACAGTAGCGGTATCTCTTTCAAAGCAAATAGGCCCAGACAATGGAAGAGCTGCGAAAGCGCTAGTTTTATCGATGTCTTGTGGAAGATTCCGCCCGAGCTCCATTGCATCCGCGTGGATGGGAACAAATTTGAGTTTTGTTTTTTTTTCTGGGTAGAGTTTTGAATTTCTCTAATTATTCAAGGAAAACATAGGTCTAGACATAGGAGGCGTCTATTGGTCGAAGAGAAATGACCGCCAGAGAGAAGCCGAAGGACTGAGTCGTTCTTGCCGAAAATCTGCTAGAGAAGGAGGCGGCGAGGGGGAAGGGCGAATATAGAGCAGTGCTAGGGGTGCAGTCATTCTCACACGAACCAGACTGACGTCAGTGAATAGGTAACTCAGAGCCTCTAGCAGATAAAGCCTCTGCTCTATCTAATCGATTTGGTTGGTGGCGAAGCCTTCAGCCGTCCCGCCTTCAGCAGCAGTCTACCCTACCCTCAGTCAGCGTCTCCGCCGCACTATTGGAAGCCGACTCGTATTGAGTAGCGTAAAGACAGCCAGAACATGAAGAATCTTCGGCCTCCGCTGAAACTTCGATTTCCATTTATGCGCTAAGGTGTCGAAAACGCCCGGCATTGGAATCGACTACTGACCATAGCTGCTGAGCACAAGCGGAATCTCTATTCAGCTCGGGTGGAAAGCCCTCCGAAGCGAGCTCTTATGGGACGTACCGCTAGCAACATTTTTTGGGCATAGCTGCACTATGTGGAAGGGATTTTGGGACATAATCGAATCAACTTCGACATCTGCTGGGACGCTCCTTTGGGAAGCGACGGATTGCCTTTCTGGTGAATCAATTCTTGAATGTGGAAGGATGACAAAGCAAAGTCGGTAAAGGATAATATTAGGATAATGATCCCTCAGGGAGCGCTACGCCTCGAATTTCCCCTCGTAATTGTAGCCATTTCTATTTGCACCCAATGGTACCCAGTTGTGCCCAGCCACATGGTCCCAAAGTTTGTCCAGTAATCGAGCTTGGGGATGAATGGCTTAGTTGGTCCGGGTGAGAGATATGATGTAAATCCCTTCGCCACAGCCCAACTTCTGCCAAAATCGATAAAATACCGAAAAATAAAACAAAAAGAAGAGCGATTTTTGTGGATGAATGGACCAAATAGATGTTGAGCTGCCTAGAAGGCAAATGAATTCCTTCTGCAGGCTCCTATAACTCGGATCCTATGAACTATACACTTTGAATTCCATGTAGTGTCCGACGTATCAGATGGGGACTAGGGAGCTCGCTCTGGGAATTCTCCGCCATTTCTGATCCTTTCAGTCAAATCCAATTATTCTACTTGATTAAATATTTTATTATTATATTCTCATTAATTTTTTGATCTGCAATAAAACTTAGTTATTCATAAACTAATCATAATAGAAGAAAAATGAGAGTGCCTCTAGACTTAGCATCATTCAGAAGGCACGTTCGGTAGTAAGCTTTCTAAAGAGGTCTGCCGACGAATTCACAGAAATTTCCGATATCATTCGGACCGTAGAGGCGAGTGATCAATGCAACAGTGAACTAAAAAACACAGTTGTTTTGTTCCAGGCATGTTTGGAAGGCCCTGATGATCCATTAATTCCAGGCCCATCATTAGCCGTAGGGCTGAGCTAGGGCTCAAGCTTTAATTAGGTAGGCACAGACGAAATGGCATTGGGTGACTTGGAAAAGCCGAAGAAAACCTCCGGGCTCTCCACCTAACCCAATAGGGCCTAGCAGTCCATGTCTTTTGACTGCCTACTATACCGATTAGGAGCATTTCCAATATCTTGGTAGGGACCTTAATGAAAGCGGCTACAATTAAAAATGGCTATCAAAGGTTCTTTCCCAAAACTGCCAATTCACGATCGTACCATATCCGAACCGTGGGCTTTGATGAATCGATCGGTCTAGTGGTTTTCCGCAAACAGATAGGCTTGTCAACAATAAATCTCCCTGTTCCATTTATAGATCCATTCAGCCAGCACATTGTCGCCGTTCAACAAAGTTCATGCTCGAAATAGGGTTTTGAGTGGTGGAAGGTTCAACGTCAATGCCCAAAAAAAAAAGAGGGAAACGCCTTAGACTAACGAGTTGCATCAGCAATGTTGGCCTTTGCAA